AAAAAAAAAAAAAAAAAAAAAAAAAAAAAAAAAAAAAAAAAAAAAAAAAAAAAAAAAAAAAAAATATTCATGAAATTGTGTTATTTATTCACAAAAAATATATATATAAATATATATATTTTTCATAATATTAATTTAAAATAAAAGAAATATATAATATTTTTCATTATTCATAGTATTTAAAATTACTTCCTCTTTATAATAATGAATACATATATATATATATATATATATATATATGCACAAATTTAGCTCGATTATGTCAATTTTTTCTGTTTATAATAAAATAAGCTCTGAAAAATAAATAAAAGTATTTATATTTGTGTACATATATATATATATATATATATTTCCTTGAAATAAAATTTAAACACATAAATGATATCAAAATAAATATTAAAAAAACAAAAAAAAATTTAAATAATAAATAAAAAAATGAAATTTTGTTGTAACTTACAAATATAACTATGATAATATTATTACATTTTCTTTTAAATAATAAAACATTTATAAGAAAACATACCAATAAATTTATATATAAATATATATCTTTAAGTATTATAATTTGTTAAAAATATTTAACAAAAGAAATATAAACAGTTTCGTATTTCAAAAAAAAAAAAAAAAATATATATATATATATATATAATTCTAAATCTTTAATATTTTTATTTATATGTACATCTATATGTATTATTTATTATTAATTTTTCGTTTTAATTGCATTAATCAATTATTAATAAATATTCTATATTATTATTTATTCTGATTTTATTCGAATAGTTTACTTAAAAATAAATAATATTTATAAAATAGAAAAATTTACATTTTTAAATATATTTTTTTTCTATTAAAATTATTTTCCATAAATATAACATAAAAAAAAATTTTAAACTTTTACATTAAATTATTTACATTTTTTTATAACTATTTTACATCATTATTCTTTCAATTTCACTATTAATATATATAATTTTTTTTTTTTTTCTTTTTGTAATAAATTTAAGTTTTAATAATTTCTCAGAAATAAAAATATGTATTTATATAATCCATTGTTATAAACTAAGTTATGTAATTAATTCTTTTTTTATCCATTATTTAAAAATTTAATATTAATATATACATTTTTATGTTTTTCACACATAAATTTTATGTTAAACACATCTTATCATATTTTTAACTCATATTTTATATAAAAGTATACAATTTCACATTTTCTTTTTATTAATAGAAAGCATAAACATATATATAAATATATATATTTAAAACTTAAAAAATAAAACTTGTTTTAATTTATATATATAATCATTTTTTCCAATTATATTCGTATATTCTTTCTCACGAAAATATTTCTTCCGTTTTATAAAAAAAAAAAAAAAAAAAAAATTTAAATATATGTATAATAAAGTTACAACAAAAAAAAAAAAAAAAAAAAGTATGTATATAAATATTATAAAATAAATATATTAAAATAATTTAAAGTTTGGTATATGTATATATCTTTAAATTTCAATTTAAACAAAGAATAAAATTAAGTATATATATATTTTTTTTTTTTTTTTAAAATAATGTATTTTCTAAAATAAACAAATATGTATATAAATAAAAAAAAAAAAAAAAAAAAAAAAAAAAAACTAAAGTAATCAATTCTTTGTATTGAATATAATATTGAGATAATATAAAATTTTTGTACGAGCCATGTAACTTAAATTTTTCTTAACATAATAAGAAAAACTTACAAAAAAATAAAATATAAAAATTTATTTATTCTTTTCTTATTTTTTTATACTAAAAGCTAAATAAAAAAAAAAAAATAAAAACATATAGCTAAATGAGATGAAAAATATATATATATATATATATATATTTGTCTCTTTAAAAAAAAAATATATATATATATATAAATTCGTTAAATAATAAAATGAACTATATTTAAATGGATATACATGTGACAATTATATCACACATATGCGCCAATAAAAAAAAAAAAAAAAAATTAATTATTTTGATAAGATGAAGTATAGAAAATTTATGAATAAAAAAATAAATAATTACAGTAATACAAATATAATAATAAAATATTGTATAAACAAAGAAAAAATAAAAAATGAAAAAAAAATTTCTATATCTTCCTTTGTTCAACAATAAAAAAAAAAAAAAAAAATAATAAAAATTCTTTAAAATAAAAAATATATTTTTTAAAAAAATAAAATTAACATATAAATAAAATACAGGTATATATTATATATAAAAATATATACTATGAAAAACACAAAAAAATAAAAGATTAAAAAAAAATGTTTTATAAATCATCTCAAATCTTTTTGCGTTTTTTTTTTTTTTTATTATTTTCGTTAAATTCATTATATATATAAGCAAATATTGACATACATTTTACTTAAAAAATTAAACAAAAAATCTCACTGCAAAAAAAATAATTTTTTTTTTTTTTTAAAATTAAGATGTAGTAAAAAAAAAAAAAAAAAAATAAAATAAAATAAATGTTGCACTAAAAAAAAATATGCACAATCATAATTTTTTTTTTTTTTTTTT